ATATATATTTGCGAAGCAAATAGTAAATGTAATTTTGATGTCGAAATTTTTCAGCTACCATCCCCTCATTACAGAGCTTAGCTAACGAAGACAAGAAATGTCAGACTTTTTTCTCAAAATTTCTTAGCAACGGAAAAAGACATTGAACGGCATTAACACCAACACTTAGATCGGAGATAGATTCGATATCGGCACGAATTTCAGACTAATCGGTAGATTGATTATTATTTATGCTTCTTATTTATTTTCTTGCTGTTATTATCTCAGAGAGGATGTGTAATGAATCTTTGTTGAAAGCTGATTATGTCAAATAACATTATCGCAGATAGACACATGTGAACTTCTGTTCTTAGACTCTAACCTTTTACTTTATGGAATAAGACAGATCGCTTCTCTGGAGATCAATTATCCTTAAAAAAGAACTATAGTCTGCGAAAGATTTTTCATTTCATGTTTTTTGTATTAGTATAATGAAAGTAAAGAACACATGTGAGTTCCACATTTCGGACTCAATAGGACTGCAATAAAAAGCTTTTTATTCATATGTTTTCGATTTAGACAAAAAAATGAAGAAAAACAAGCATCACAAAAATACATGAGAGAATCTCTCAATCATCCTTTATCGACATTACAATCAATCAATGAAGAACAAAAAAATGATAATCATTTAGGTGATTCATGGACTAATTTAATAAATAATAATAATTCGAATTCATCACCACAAAATACATCAACATATAAACGTTCTTATCAAAATTATAATCGACGTTCATATTCATCATTTGATGGAGGACCATCAAATGATAAAAATAATTCATTTAATGAAAATAATCAAAATCAACAAGAAGATGAAAATAATGAACAAATTGATACAATACAACTTGATGATCATCATCAACGATCTCGATCAATATCAGTGGCAAAAACGAGAAAACAATCAAAACAATTGCAAACACCATTAGGACGATCATCATCAAGTCATCAACAAAAACATCGTGTTGAATCACTTCAATTCAATGATGATGATGATATTAATAATGATAATAAAAAAAACATAAATGAATATGAATATGAAAATGATGAACAACAACGAAAAGAAATAATACTTCCTCCAATTAAAATAAAAGAATCATTGAATCAAGATGATAATGCAAAATTACATAAAATTCGTGAATTAAAAAATAAATTATCACGTCAAGAAGAAGAATCTAAAAAACAAATTAATGAATTACAATCAAAACAAGCACGTCTTGAAAATGCCCTTAAATTACTTACTAAACAAACATCATCCCAAGGTAAACGTCATCAACAAACTCATGAAAATATTGAAAGTAAATTTCTCATTATTAAATCATTTATTTTCTTGCAATTTATTATATTTTCTTTATAAATGAAGATCTTGATGTACCTGCCACTAATGTTATGATTGAATCACAAAACGAAAATGATCGTCGTTATCATGGCAGACAACAAGAAATAAATTCATCAGGTAAGCAACAATAAATATTCAATATTAACAAGATTCGAGATTATAATAATGGAGTCTAGAAACGAGATTATAATTTAGAAAATATCAAAATACAAATAAACTTTTTCTCATCTAGATAATCGACCAAGTAAATCGTATTCTGGTGTATGGAAACCTGATGCATCAACACTTCATCGTCTCCAAGGAAATTAATACAAATTTTTATATTTATCTCAAGAAAAAAAAACTAATGTGAAAGAATAAAGCAAAAAAGTACATTGAAAACGACTTGAAAAAAGAAATGAAATGTGTGTTTTTTTCATCCAATTCTATTTCTATATGTAGAAAAAAGATAAAGAATTTGTGAAACTAAAGTAAAACTTGATAATATTAATGAAATAATTTCTAAACCAGCTGACCAATCAAGACGAATATCATAATCACTAGCAGCTATTTGTCGAATACTTTGTTCAAAATCATTAGTTAAATTTTGATGTTCTAAACAATAAAAAATCAAATATCCTATTTTTTTAAACAATTCAATTTTTTTTTGTTCTAAACATACTTTGTCCAATTAAACGATAATTTAAATTATAACGATATTCAAATAAATCATGTGACATTGTTGAACTTAGTAAAATAAGTGTTGTAAGAATACATATAAAAGCAATAAATAAAAGAGATATTGTTATAATAGCAATACCAAGATGAGTTTTATATTTAAATTGATTAATAAGTAAATGTAAATAAATTGAAATAATCGATAAGCTAAGTGTAAATATTGATATAATTGTACATGATATAAGACTTTTATTTATTAATGAATAATTACAACGATAAGGATTACCAGCTATATTACAGAAACGTTGAGCTTCAGTTGGTTGAACTTTATTTAATAAATAAGATAAATTTTTATTATGTGGTAAATATTTATTTGCATCACAAATAAGATACATTTTATTTGTATTTAAAACACCATTAATAAGTCGATTTTCACAACGATGAAATAAACCAATAAACATTGTTTCATTAGGAATTCGACGATGCTCATAGATTCTAAAGAGAATATTCTTTTGTTAAATCTAACTGAACAAAATATTTAAATTTTAGGGACATCGTTTTTTCTTATCATGTCTAATGACTTTTTCATTAAAAAATAGATGAACGTCCAATGTATAGAAAATTTGATTGTATTAGAAGAAGCAATTTTCAAAAGCCTTCCTATTATTTACAGGTATATCAATGTTAGAATTTTATAGAAGATGTTGATATGCATATTTTTTCTGACACATTAATACCTAAAGATCTGAAATTGATATCAAAATAATTGTTGGTAGGGTCAAATCGAAATTGATTTTCTTTGTACAGTATATGTACAGAACATAATTTTCTACTTAAACGGTTCAATGACATAAGATAAAAATGTTTTATAAATTGATTTAGGAAGAAAACTTACTTCCATCGTGGATATTCCATTGCAATTATATGAAATATTAATGTGAAAATAGCCAGTAGTAAACCAGTGCTAAGATAAATACGACTTATTTCCAACATACTTAAGTCAATGAATGAGCGTGGTTATATATGAATATTAACTACCTATGAATATGAACAAAAGAAAAATGTCATACACACTTCAATAGGTGATTACATAAGCGAAAGTAATCGAATTACGATAATCATTCATTATGCCTTTTTGTATGTGCTTGTGATCATGTAAAAAAAACAGTCATTTTAAGTCTTTATATTGTGTTTATATCATGTACTTTATTATAAATACAATAAAAAAAAAAGAGACTGTTCTCTTTTTTTTTTCTTTATTGGCACTCAACATTTTTATTCCGTTTAATTTAGCTTGTGTCCGATAACACGGTAAAGGAGAACGAGATTTTATTCATTTGTTTTCTTTTATTTGTACGTTTTTTCTTCCTTCATTTATTGTATGACATAACCAGTTCTTTCTCACCTGTTCATAGCGATTGAATACCAAGTTTATAAGAAGTATCATTTTCAAATTTTTTTTTCTTATTGAAAATTTTAACAAGAAATTCAATACTTTCATTTAATTGTTATCTATGATTTATTCCTTGAAAATTAAACACAGTTGTTTGATGAATTTTAGATTGTTTTTTAAAGTTTAAAAATAGAAATTAAGAAAAACAAAATTAATCAATAGATCAATTAAATTTTATTTTAGTTAAAAACTTAATATTATGAAGACATAGAATAATATTACTAATTACTAAATTTTAATTGTCATAGAAAAATTTTCATCAGAAAGTTGTTAAATTTCTCCGTAATGATATGTCAAATTAACTTTAATTTTTTTTTGTTGTGAAGAAAATTCAATATTAATTTTTCTTGCTTTGATATAACATCAGTTTTTCAGTAACAATGAAAAGTTAAATTGTAATCATATTTTTACTATTGCTTGCTATCTAAGCTGCCGATTATTCAATAAGAAATAAACAACTCCTTCCAACCTTTCAAATCACTTGAATGTTCATTAGTTTACTTCACAAAAAAAATATTTCTTTTTTTGTCATTGTTAATGATGCATTATGTAAACACTTTGGATTTTTATTACAAGTAAAAATAATTCGTCAGTTTCTATTCAATACATGTTTTTCCAATCGAAATTATCTTAACAATGCAAAAACCGAAACATCCTCAAAGATGCTTTTTTTAATTTTCTATTGAATGTAACTTTTCTACATAATCTTTTGTAACTTATGTGCCGTTCATTAGACGATATGTCATAGTTTTTAACTTGTCTGAAATACTTTTAGGTTGATCAAAATGAGCAAATATTTGCACGAGAAATTTTGGTGCATATATTCCGTTCCAATTACCTCACTGCTGTACTCGAACACTACTGACACTTTCACAGCAATCAAAACTTTCAGCCCATCTGTTAAAAGGAAACTATTGGCCTTTTTTTCAAAGTAAATAACATTTTAAATTCATCTTACATGTCATCATGAACAATTGTTGTTTCATGTTATTTTGCAGTTGGTATGCAGTATGTGATAGTGATATTTTTGATAAAATTCATTTTACAATTCTCAGAAAAAGTAGCAGTAATTGCATTAAAATTAAAAAAGAAAATAATAAATTAAAAGTTCTAAACACACAGTAGTGTCGTGTTTTAATTATATCCTTAGGCTTGAACTGTTGAAAAATCGTATTGCTTGACGACTGAAATCGAAAATTTACATGTCTACTTTGTAAGTTTATTTTCAATAGAATACTTGTTGTTTCTATTTGAAGGAAATTTGTAGTGATATTGTTTCATTCATGTTTGATTAAACAAGACAATGGGAAACAAAAGAAAAAAAAGAAATCGACACTTGAAAAAATTGAACTTCTATTTTGCCCCTACGCATTTTCTCGCCTTTTCCTGTCATTTTCCTTTTTTTTTTGTCTTTAATAGCTCGTCTCTTTTTTTAATTGCACCACATTTTTAAATATTTCTTTTTTTCTTATATTACTCAAATTAAACGCAAAAGTTTTTATTGCATGTGAAGAGAGAATGAACTCTAATGGATATTCATCACCAATGCAAGATCGAAATAGTTTATCTGCATCATCTACAACTGAAATATATCTTCAACAACAACAACAACAGCAAAGAAAAGAAAATTCATCAACAAAATTTCGTCAATTTATAAATGCAAATGATAAACGTGCACAAAGTATTGATCGTAGAAAAATATCTACATCCAATTTAGCAACTTTAACTCCACAAAGTCAAGTAAGACTAACGGAATATGATGCATTTTACATATATATATAAACAAATTTTTGTAGGAACTTATTTTACATGCATTTGAAGCAATTAAAAATGAAGATAGTAGAAATATGATGACTACATTGGATGAAAGTCGAGATATGTTAAGAAGTTCATATGAAGAATTTCAACGTGAACAAGAACAATACAAAAAACAACTTGAAGAAATTACAAGAAATAAAGAATTAGCAATACAAAGACGAAAAGGTAAAAAAGAAAGATAAAAATGTTCATTATTCTTTTTGCTTTTTTTCTCTTCTTAAAGAAAATTCAATACCAATTTCAATTTTTTTACGACAAAAACATGATATTCATGGTCTTGCTGATCTTCGTCCAAATTCAGGTATGAATGCAACATATCAAGCATATTTTGAAGCACTTCTTACAACGGATCAAAATCAACAACAACATCCATCAGATAAAGCTGCCGTTATTAAATATATACGTCGACGTGAACGACGAAAACGTGCAGAAGAAAATCGAAAAAATGTTGATTTATCTTCGGATATTCTTGAAAAAGTATTGAAATTTTATGAAATACAAAAAAAAAAATCGAAACAATTCTTCTCTTTCTTCTATATAGCAAACATCAGACATAATAGACAAAATGGGTGGTATGGACGTTAAATTAGAACATGAAAAAGAAAGACAACATAATTTATTACGTACAAAAATGAATGAAAAAAAAATTAAAACTCAAAATATAATTGAAGTTGGTCAAATAATTGATCAAGCTCATGAAGCAAATTTAGCGTAAGTAAAATCAATTTCATTTTTATAACTTTAAACTTTATGGCTCACAATCTAAATAAAGTTTTGAAGTGTATAGATAACATATATATATATCGATTTTCACATTTCAACTTCACAGAGATTATTCTGACAGCTTCTTTTTTTTTTTGTTGTTTTTGTTTTTCTTTAGTCGTCAACGTGTTGAACAAAAACATCGAGAAAAAATTGAAGCACGTCTATCGGCAGTACGAAACCAACAAAATCTAACACCAACAAATATAATTCATGTTCAAAGTCGTTTAACTGATTATGATGATGATGATGATGAAAATTTTGAATTAAATGATGAACAAAGAGAAGCAACAAAAACTTCTATTCAATTATTAAATAATAATAATGCTTATAAATCTGCACGTTCAATCACACCTGTTTATGGTAATGACGATACAAATGAAAAAATTTCAAACATTTATATATAATCCAAACTATTGAGTTTTTTTTTATTTGAAACAAAAAACAAAAATAAAAACAAACAAACAAACAAAATTTAAATAACTTTTTTTGAAAAAAGACCATCTTGAATTTGTTTAATAATTGAACGTAGAAGTATTGTTGCTGATGATTTTTGATCAAAATTTGTTTGAAGTAATTCTATTGCTTTATTACTTTCTTTTAAACATTGTTCACGACATTGATCAAGTAATTCTTTATTATTTAATTGTTCAAAAGTTACATTCTCATTATTTGATTTATTCATTATTGAATATGGAAATGAACGATTCATAGGTACAGTTCCATAAAGTGTTAAAGAAGATGAATCATTTGCAAATGATGATGAATATTGAGATATATCATTATACATCATACATGAAAATATAATATGTCGACATAAATAATATGCTTGATCTTGAAATGATGGTAAATGATCCACTAATTGAAGAGAAGCACGACAACCTGATGCAACCAAATTTGCTACAGAACTGAAATAAATCATAATAATGAGAGTAATTAGCATCCTATGGATTATGATGTCAAAGAATATTATTTTATATCAAATTTTGTAGAAAATTATGGCATAGATAAGAAAGAAACTTAATGAAGTTTTAACTGATTTTCCATATTTATTTATTTAATTAATTAGGTTTAGAGGAAGAAACAAATATATAAATGAGGTTGGTTCGATTACTGATTAATCTATTCAGATTAAATAAAGAGTAGCTCAATAATTATCTAGTTAGAAAGAAAAGTGAGTGTTTTCTTGCGTCATCATTTTCCCTGAAATAGACTGACACTTTTTTTTATTGCCCATAAAAGCTTATTGATTATATTTACAAGAAAAATGATCAAGCATATTCTTTTGAGATATTAATTTTAATATGTATGTTGATCAATGATATTAATATGATTTGAAAAAAATATTACTTAAATGTATTATTAATAATATGTAAAGTAAGCGTGGGGAATAGAAGACTCACATCCATGCTCTAAAACTAAGATATTGTTCTATCAAATGCTTACAGTGCAGTTAGTTGATACCATTCTGTTAATGATGTAAGTGATTGTTTATCTTTTAAAAAAAATTCTGCTTTGCACATATCTGCAATTGCATTACCAATAGTTTCTACAACCTAATAAAAACTTTTAAATAATAATGATTTAAGTAAATAAAATATAGTTTTTTTACTGGAGGTTTTCGAAATTCAGCTAATTTACCACAAGCTTGTGATAAGAGATAATCTCCACCTAAGACTGCTATTTTATTTCCTTGTTCTAAATCACTTTGATGATCTTTTAAATCCACAATACCTAGACAAAGAAATATAATTTTTTTTTCTTCATATTATATTATTTTCATTACCTCGATGACCAAGAATACCTAAATGAACTAAAACAAACAAGATAATTTTAAAAAAATATTCACATTATGAAAACAAGTAAAAATTGATATTATAAGATGATCAATATAGGTAACTCAATTCAAGAAAAATTCATGAAGCATTTTGTAATATTATTGAAGAAACTACAAAAATTATTTAGCAATTTATTTGATGCAATTAGAATTCAACTAAAAACCATGTAGAACGATACTCAATCAAGATATTCGACACAACTAACAAGGAGAATTGTTCTGATGAACCTAATAAAAATTAGATGTTCCAATATGATTCATTAGTAACTTTTCTGCATTCTATACCTGGTTTTGATTCTATAATAGATCATTTTCGTCTCTCTCTCTCGCGATTCTATTTTGCGAATATTTTTCGTCCATCGGCAACAATAAGAGTCAGTAATCAGGATGTAGCTCAAAATTCATTTAAAGGGCATCGTTCCGTATCATCGACAACTTTTTCTTTCTTGAATCGATCGTAATCTAATAATTGAGCATTTGGGTCGACAAATTGAGGTTCAATCGATTAATCATATAATGAATATTCATTTATTTTTAGAAAGTATAGGGAATTGTAAAAGTAAATCAGTACTAACGTTTTATAGATGAGGATCAAAACGAATAAGAGTAAGTAAGTGGTTTCAGATATGGAAAAAAAATTTGTCAACAAAATGGAACTGAATCATATAAAATATTCAATCATTACTCATTTCAATTAATTCAGCTAATTGTCTTTGATGTTGATGAATTCCATGTTGAACCATATCTTCTTGATAAGTTTTTTGTGGAATTCCTGCTGCTTTTGATATTAATAAAAGTAAAACTGATCTTGAATGTGCTGCCTTCGGTGGACTTTCTAACATATTTGTAGCAAGTTTAAGTAATGGATGTTGTGTACCAACTAATTTTCTTAAATAACCAATTAATGTTGATACTTCTTCATTAAATAAATATTTAAGATTAACTAATGAATGTAATGATGATGGATAACCAATAATTTTTTCACCTTGACTTAACAATGGTTGCCAATCGGGAGTTTTATTTTTAATATGAACATAAAATCCATTAGATGATAGAAAACGTACTATCGGAGATAATCTCATAGTCTTTCTTTTCTTTTTTTTTATCTGCAGTTTAAGAGGAAAAAAATCAAAAGAATTTTATATGAATTATCTATACGTGTGGTTTTTTTTATTTGTTATATAACAAAAAAAAAAAAAAGAAAAAGAAGCATATACAGAAAAAAAAAGAATTAGTGTCCTTTTAACCCGATAGATCCTCAGCTTGATATGCTGTTTGGTCATATAATTCAGCTTTTATCATTCGACCAGCAAAATATCGATTATTAAGTGATTGAACCGTTTTTTCTGCTTCTACAAAAGAAAATATAAAAAAACTTTTCATATAAACTTATCAATTAAATAAAAAAATATAACACTTACGTTTATTTGTTTGAAATTCAACAAAAATTTTGACAATTTGTTCTGCATTATCATCTTCTCCTTGTTGTTCAGTATAAATAACAACTTTAATAACTTCACCGTATTTCGAACATTCTTCTACAAGAATAAAAGAAAATTTTCAAAAATAAAAACAAATAAATTCTAACCTGTTATTTCTTGTTGTAAATCATCATCAACATCTTCTGGACCAACCATATTTCTTAGTACACATACACGTGATTCAAGTCGACGTTGATTTAATTTTTGCATTAATAAATGTCTTTGTTCACGACCTAATATCAACAAAAAACGAGATTTCGTTTCTTTTTTTTTTTTATTTTTTAGATGTTATAGAAATTAATATACCTTTAACACTAAATTCTTCTTGCTGAGATAAAGGCGCTGTTGAATCTTCAGCAAGATTTAAATCTAAAGCAGTTTTTTGATTGTCAGTTGTTTCTGATTTATTTGTTGGTAAAACAAGTGAAATTGATGGATATTGTTGTTTTGGTTCTAAATCAGGTTTTAATCCAACAGGAATAGGTGGTTCTTCAAGCATAGTTGGTTGTGGTATCAATGTCGATGGTGATGGTGGAATAATAACTAAACATATATCAATTTATGAGATTCATTTTTTTTGTGTAAATTAAAATAGTAAAAAAAATTTACCTTGCGAAGGTGGAACAGGTATTTGTTGTAGTAATGGTGAAGTGGTAACATTTGATACAGGTGGTGTAATAAAACTATAAATAAACAAAAAAAACCATAAAAAAAGTTTAAATTTTATAGAAGATTTACTTTGAACGAACTCCAGGCGAACCAACAATGGTAGGTTGAGGAATCGGATTTGTTATAGAAGTAGTCGGATTGAGTATAGTAGAAATCACTAAAAATGAATTTAAAGAATTATGAACTTAATATTCTGTAAAAATAATTTGTTTACTTGATGTAACAGCTGTTGCACCAGAATATGAAGCAGCTGAAAGAGCAGCAGCAACAGTTGTTGGTGCAATAGGACCACCAATAAATCCTACTTGTGCTAATGGATTATTGATTATATGTGAAGTAGCCGAAAAAATAATAATAAAAATAGAGTTTAGAATAGAAATACATGAAATCAGAAAAATTTTGAGTCTGGGGTGACATTATTTATGAGCAAACTATTTTCTTTACTGATGAGAGAATATATCAGCAATGTGACAATCTCAAAAAGCAGAATAAGGACTTGACGCGGCATATTTCTAGTTAGAATTCAATGTGTCATTAACTTGGATATGACCATCGGCGTTCGTGTAGACCTAAGCCAGTTTCATCATACTATTAAATGCACACAGTATCAGTTGACACTGTTCATTTCCTGAAAATTCTCTAGCAAACTATGTTGATAATTTTCAACAGTTGTACTCTACTATTATTTATGGAAATAGATCATGTAAAAGTGTACGTGAACACTTGTGGACTACCTGGATTCATTCGGACTTCAGTTAAATTTATTGCAATATTATACATTCATTACAAGCTATCAAACTATGTTCTTTTAGATAAATGTTGGAAATATTTAGTACAGCACACTGAGAACATCAGTCAATCAATGTAGTTATTCTTCTTATGATAGCAAAGATCTTGTGATCTTAGCTTATTAAAATGTAGACATCACATTTTTACAATATCTCTGCAGCAATAAGCTAACGGTACAACCTCTTTGTCCAAATATTCATAAATCATTATGATAACATGAAGTATTTATGAAATAAACATACTATAGTGGGTTGTGAATTTGTTTCAACATCTTTAGCCTGTAGTTGAGCTGTAATTGTAGCAACAGCTAATGCAGTAGCTGTTGGCATTGAAGCTGCGGCTGCTGGTGTTGAAGCTAGCAAACCCTCAGGAGGTGTTATTGCTTTTCCAACTCGAAGATATTGTCCTAGAAAGAGAGAAATTTTCTTTCAAAAGAACAATACAAAAACTTACCACCAAGATCAAATAAATTCATTGAATTAATTGCATCTTGTGCTGCTTGGACTGTTTCATATTCAATAAAACCATAACCTCTAAAAAAACAGAAATGCATACATGAAAACATTTAATAATTACATTAAAAATTATATTTTACTTATGTTTATTTGTTGCTGGATCTTTTGCTACAGTACAACTTTTAATTTTACCTATAAAAAAAAAAGATATTATTATTGAATAAATCCTTGTATGTTTTTTTTTTTCTTATTTTCTTACCAAAAGCTTCAAAAACACTTTGAATTTCATTTTCAGTTAAATCCGGATGAATTGAAGCTATATAAATTCGATTATAATTTTTCGCTTCTTCAGTTAATTGATCAATAATTGGTTGTGCTTGTGGCATATTCGATGGTCTACCAACCTGTTTCAAAACAAAAGATTAAATTATTTATTAAAACTTTTTTTTTCTCTATTTTTGTTTTCTTTACTTTAATATTTCTTCCACCAAGAATGACTCCATTCATTTGTTCAATCGATAATTGTGCTGCTTCTGGTATTTCATATTCAAGAAAAGCAAAACCTTTATGACGATTAGTAACAGGATCAAATGTTAATGAAACAGCTTTAACTGGACCAAACGGTTGAAATGCTTGTTTGAGCATTGCTTCATTTAACTCAAAATTAATACTTCCAATATAAATTCTACATGAAAAAGAAAAACCAATTAGTACTATTTCTTTCAAGACTAAAATGTGAAACACGGTGAAGCTGCTCTTGTTAATTATAGAAAGATAGATAAGCGTTCTTCAATCATGTTTCACAAAAAAAAAGTAAAAACTCGATATCGTCTTTTATGTTTCAGAAATGTTTTTTTTTTCCTAATTTCTTACCGACACATTAATAAAAGTGCTTGTTGTTTTTTAATATTATCTAATTGAACACGTTGTTGTTGTTGTTGTTGTTTCACAAGAACATATTTAACACTTTGTTCCAAAGCATATTTTTTTGCACGTTTAACACTTTCATCATCTGATAATCGAACTTTATAACGTCCTGTATCACGTTTTGCTCCTGGTCCTTTAAATAATGGACCACGTTGATCAAGTTCAATAACAGCTGTAAATGGTGCAAATGGTGTAAGTTCACGTGGTAAACGTGGAATATTTTGTATAGCATATTTTTTCTTTTCAATACCATTTATTGTTTGAGATTCATTAGTATTTTCTATAAAATAAAAAGAAATATATTTTTTTTTTATATACGAACTTTTAGAATAAATAATTTTAGACGATCAGGCATACGAATAAGATGTTTGAATATTGTAGCTGAAAAAGGGATAGAGAGAAAGAGAAAAAAACAACGAATATGTTAAAAACAAAAAAAAAAAAGAAGAAAAGATTCGTTTTTTTTTAATGATAAGTAGATTCTTGCTGGGTACCTAAAATAGGGAGAAAGAAAAGATCAAAATAAAACATGTTTTCTGATTAAATTCTGTCTGATATATTTAATTTTCTTTTTTTTTTTTGGTCGTCGATGATTGAATGAAGATCGACGCAACTCACACAATTGATAAATGTTCCTCTGCAACATGGACAAGAAAAGAGAAAAAACAAAACCGAGTTTTTTGTTTAATTAATAAACGAAATTTTAATACAATATAAATAAATATAATAGAAATAAAAGTAAAATTAAAACAAATAAACTTACCGATCATTGTCGTACTTGATTGATCAATAATCATTGCTTCAGTCATTTTATTTCTTATCTAAAATTCAAGAGGATTTTATTCCTATATCACAATAAATTGAACAATAAAAAGAATGAAAAAAAAAAGGACATTATTCATTTTATTGTTTATCTGCATTGGTTAAAAAAAGAAATACATTATGTTCACTCTAAGGAACAATTAAATATGGTTGTATTGGTACAAATTGATTTGCATCATGACAATCTTGTAACCAATCAAGATTAAGAAAATTTATATCTGGATTTGATTTTGAAATCTAAATATATAAAGAAAAAATATAATGAGAACGATGATGTTGACTTTATTCATTTCAACATTTTATGACTATACTGATAACTAGATCGATCTTATGTTTGAGAATAGGATTTCAAGAAAATTTGCAAAACCATATGAGATTTTTCTAACATTTTAGGAAAAAAATTAGTTCAATCTTTCTTCTACTACTACAATCGGAGATATTCATGTATTCCTAGAGATTTATTTTTAAAAGTTTTCTTATGTCAGTTTCTAGTTTGTCGCGAGTCAAAAATTTAAGAATATCGAATTATTTGTGTCGGAAAAAGAAACGAAGGCAACTAACACCAACATCGAATATATGACGACTTCTGTACCAGTGACCGTGAGCTTTACAGGGCACCATCTATGATATACTTAAAAAAGAGTTCTAATTCAATACTATTTTTTAATAACTATAAACAGTAAAACTTATGTAAACCTTTGCAAAATCTTGATTCCACATTCGATTTGTAATAACGTATTTAACATCTGAAGTAACGTGTCCTTCCAAAATTCCATCATAAGCAAGAATAACTCGAGTTATATCGAGAAGTGTATTATCATCATAATCACCATAGGATACATAAAAATGTTTTCCATGAAAAAAATCTGGTATTTCATCGAATTGTTTCTTATTTGTCTGATCTTTAGTTGTTGTAGACTTTCTTTTCACAGGAGTTCTTTTTTTAACATCTTTTGAAACAGTAGTATCGTCTTCATTTTGTGTTTTTCTTTTTCTTGTTCTTGTTCTTGATTTTCTTTTGGGTGTTTGTTGTTTTGTTTCATTATCATTTAGTTCTTTTAATTCATAAGATTCTTCAGGTAATAATTCATTTTTTTTATAACAATCAATAATCCATTGTTTATTAACAATAAAACCTTTTCCTGTTTGTTGTACTTGTGTAAATTTTGGTGTATTTTGAAATGCACAACTAAAATTAAAAAATTTATGTACATCATTCAGAATAAATCTCTCTTTCTTTCTTATTATAAAAAAAATTTTTAATATTTGCCTTTTTTTTGCTATTATCGAACTAAAGTACAACAAACGTATTTTATTTTAATATGATGTCAGATTCTTTCTCACTATACAAAAGTTTTCAATTGGGTTTTGGTCTGATGATGAATAGGATCAAAATAGAACCTGAATTTGATGGTCAATCTTCACGATGTCGTTTTTTAAAATTTTAGAAACTTCGTTTGTTGTAATGTGTTCAACTCATGTTTGACAATAGTAACAATCATTATATCCGTTTTCTTTCATATAATACGTGATTGATCAGGTCTCAGTAAATTAGACTAATCTTCATTTTGTTCTCATCTAGCAAGTTAATGCCGTATGATCTTTGCTTCACACCCAATGTAATTCGAAATATAATTTTATAACTGTGATAAAGAATGATGAAAATAGCCATTTACGATTTCGATCCATATTTTACACATTAGTTTGATAATAAAAGGAAAGCAATTTTTTTGAAAGTTTAAAAAAAAAAGGAAGAGCGGTGTTTAAAAGACTTTTGTTGTTTCTATTGAACTAATTAAGTTATCTAAACATACATAAGATGTGTACAATTCTCATTCCAATCATCATTATAAGTAGCACCCATTGCTGTTGCTTTATTACGTAATTCTGATCGTAAGGGATTTTGAAAACCACTTAAAACAAAAACAACAGTTTTCATTATTTGTGATTTATCATTCTGAAAGATAAAAGAAAAAAACTTTTTAAATGAAACATATTTGTTTTACTTTAACATCTTTTTTTTTTAATTTTTTGTTTGGATTATCATTTATTAACTTTTTATTTGATAATTCATCAGAAACATGTTTATCATCATCATCATTAGATATTGATTTAAATTTTTTTCCTGTTTGGTTTTCTTCTTTTTTCATTTCATCTTCATCAACAACATCAGTTAAAGATTTATTACATATTTCTGTTTGTTGATTATCCTCAATTGTTGAATATAGTTTAATAAAACTTAAACCAAATTGATTTGAACGATTAAATTTTTGTTCACATATTATTTTCAATCGATCCCATTCTTCATTTAAACATGTTTTATTTAAATGATGAGATTTGAAAGCTTTAGTTTTGTTACGATTTTTATTTGAACGTGATTCATTTGGAGTCATGAAAACTGTTGAAGGTAAAAGAACAGTCCAATCATCAGGGTTTGATGATGATGATTGAGAAACTAATAATTCAATAAATGCACTACCATTATTACCAATATCAACAGATGATATCAAACAAGGTTTTTCAAATTCAAGAATACATATTATACGTTCTTCAGTACCTTTAGATGATAACCATTTTTTATATTGTTCTGGTTCAAGTAAATTTTTAGCACAGTGAATCTAGATTGAAAAAGAAATTCATTGAAAAAAACAAAAAATGATTATTGATTCGAACTAACTCGATCTTCACTTGAACAAGAGACAATACTTTTAAAATTAATCAAAGACATATGAATTGATATTGTATTTTAACAGAGATTTTAATTTTGGAAAGATAAATGTGGTTGTTGATGTTGTTGTTCTGTTGAATTATAAAAAAAGATGATGACAATAAACGAAAAATGTTTAAGAAAAAGAGGGAGGTAACATAACTGCTAGAAAAATTATGATTGGTCAACTACATGTATATGTTTTGAGAATTTTTATAATAGAGGTCGTGCAAATACATTATTTCAAATTTTGGTTAACATTATAGTGTGAATTTTATTCGAAATTCGACAAAAACATAAAACATAAAAATATCGATTCAGATTACTGCTGATGAGAAAAAGTAACATGCGCTGAGTTTCGCATGAGATTTGTATTTGATTTTAAATAATCGATGTAAAGAAAAGATTCAGTCAACATTATCTAAAACAATTGTTGGAACTTCTTCATTATCGGACATTGTAATTATAGTTGGTTGAAAAGAATTTTCTTCATTAGTAGTTATTTCTGTTGTAGTAGTTGTTGCTTGTTGAGCAATAATTAAAGCATTAGGAGACATTGTTCGATAGGATTCTGTTAAACTTACTGAACGATGTGGATCACCATCAGCAGCCCATTCTTCAAGAGCAAACATACGTGCACGTGCTAAATCATTCAGCATAATCTCATCTGTTGTATAAGTATCATTTGTAATATGTACATGAGATAAAATTAAAGTAGCAGGTATAAATTGAAGAATACTTAAAATATAATCAATAATTTCACCATAATTTCGTCCTTTATCAATTTGATAAAGAATACGTAAGCGACGAAGCCATATTTCAAGTTCGTTATTGCTAAATGGAACTTGTGTGTTATGTACATCATAGAAACTTGGCATTTGAGTTTTATCAAGAAGATGTACATAATGAGATGGATTGTTTGATGATCCAGTTTTATTGCCTGGTTTAAGATACGATGAACTGGGTTTTGTAGTAAGATTTCGAGAACGTAAACCTGTTCGAGGTGGTGAACGAGGATAATTTGAATTTCCTTGTTCTGATGAATTATCTTCATTACTCCGTGGTGAATTCAATGCTGAATCACTTGCATGAAAATTTTTTGATTTAGCAGATGACTATGAAATTAATATAAAGAAAACATAGAATAATGAAAAGAAAAAGATAATGAATACTTGTTCAAGTTTTTTATGTGTTGGTAATACAACAAATTTAAATGATTCAAGTTGTTGAAGTAAAAAATTTTTACATGGTTGTTTAAGATGTTCAATCATATATTCATCAGCTAATTGAAGGAAAGCTTCAATATTATTATTTGTAATCTGACCATTAAATTGTGGATAAATATATTTTAATAGATCAAGTATACTTTCACTTGATTTTCCTTCGAGAACTATTTCTTGTTCATTATGTTCTTTAAATGGACCGTCAAACATACGTACAAATACAGGTGAAACTAATGTTAATAATAAACGATGACAATAAAATTTTTTTTCACCAACTATTAAAACAACATCAGATTTGATATTGACCGTATTTGATGAATCGGTAAAATATTCTAATGGTGAAAGTGGTGTTGATGAAAGTCGAAGTAGTTCTGGCGTCAATGATGATGATGATGACATGGACATGCACAGGTAAATTTTCTACGAGACTGTTTCGTTTCTATTCAAAGAACGATACAACAAGGTAAAATTAAAACGCAATGTGTTTTTTTATGTGTTACTCCACATTTTTTTTTTAATACTTAACAACATCTACCTTTCAATTTGATTCGTCGAAATGATTGAAGTGAAGAGAAATAAGAAATGCCGAAGAATAATATTATTGACGATTGAAATACTCGATGTATTGCAAAAGTGTTGGTGAAAAAAGAAATTGGAGAGTAAAAAGAAAAAAAATTGATGAATGTTTGCATGTCACAATAAAGAACGCAATAACAACCATGAAAACAACTACAGACTGCACACATACTAACGAATCGATGAGTCAGACAATGAGTAAGCATAACAGCAGAAATGTTTTTGTTTACATCATCATTAATAATGTGTCCTGGTGAGAAAATATGATGCAAGTAGAATGAAAGTTAATTGTTTCAAGGTTATTTATTGTGGTTTTTCAATGAAAGCAAAAAAAGAAAATAAAACATATTCATATAAACCCTTAAAAGTAAAGATTCATCGTATTATATAGTAGCTTTTATTAATTGACCTATTTTACATATGGTGATCTTAGTTTTCTATTTACTATGAATGGATTGTAATAGATTATTTTTGGTTATTATTTGTATATGATTAAAGGAAGAAATGGCAGAATCTGAATACATTGGAGTACAATGGAAACCCTAGGAATACGAAATTCATGATTTCCTTGCCCGTTTACTGCCTACATCGAGATTTTAATTAATCTTGCAAGAATATCTTTAATTCCTGAAATACATCATTCATTAAATTCATATATTATCAAGAAAACAACTCTCTTAGAATGAGATCTATACCTTGGTCATATTTGAAAGTTGACCGATATTAAATAGTCGCATCGAAGTTGTTTATAGGAAGCTGAACACTAAAATAATTGATTATTTGAATGAGATCATTAAAGTTAATAGCTAAAATGAATTTTTCTGGTAAACAAACGACACTTATTTGATTGGAAATCAACAATTTCAAGCTATTTTGAGAAAAGTGAGACAATAGATTTTATTGTCGTTTTACTCGTTTTTGCTTCGTCTGAGAAACGAAAAGTTGAATATGACTGCTCGTGAATCAAGTAATAATCATGTAGACCAATTTACAGTACTAGTATGAATAGATGCATACGTACAAAAAGTGTTCGGTACTTATTTAAAATCTCAATATTTTTGCACTAGTCGATTTCCAAGTAACACTGGTCTTCGGAATACTGGAATTAAAGTCTATAAGTGGTTTCTCAAAATTTGTGAGTTTGATTTTTTCGTCAATATAGGACTGTTTTCCAAAAATAATGGTATTTGGTAAAATTTGATCAAATATCTTTATGCTAGTAGATGTTCAGTGTACTCTGCATGCGCTTATTGTTTTTACCATTAAATTCATCAGAGCAGTGCATTGGATGCACCAATGCTATGGTGCAACACTCGATCATTGTTATCGTATCATCTTCGTTTTTCTAAATCGCTTGTAGATTAATGATTTTTTTTTTTGATCAAGTAAATGTCGTTTGTTTAGGAGAAAAATCAACTTTAGCTATGAAGTTCAATAATATCCTTCAAATAATCAGTTATCTTAGCATTCCGCTTCCTATATAACCAAAGGGTTAACAAGAATAATATAAACAAGACTTTTACTTATTATTTGTGTGAGTTCAAATCTCATTTCAAGATGACTCTACTCAACGCAGTAGATGAATATATGATAAACAAGCTACTAATGACCAAATTATCATCATAAAGATGTTTAAATATGACATGTATCAATGTCAAATCAGTTCAACTTTATTCATACAGAAAATTATACGGAAAGTTCGAACATCAGAACGTACTTTTTGACATTTAAAGCAATTGGACATGTCTATATTGAACTAAAATAAAATGACGCTATATTCAAATTCTTTTAAGAAGAATAATTGGAATGGTAAAGTGATTTTTTTTTTATGAAACTATGCTGATCGCCTTTTGAAATGCAAGTAAATACGAAAGTTTATTAAAGATTTTGAATAAAATAACAACCAATTGAGACTAAATTATAAAATTTCTCTATCGATTAGAAGAATATTGGTATTCATAAAAATATTTGATTTTGTCTAGAGAAATCAGGTTGTATTGTATTACCAATTCTACTAACTATATTCATTATCGTACTTTTACTCATTTGGTTGCATTTCTTCTAATTAAATATTAATATCATTTAGCTTGAATTTTGTTGTCACTTTGTAATATAGATTTTTCTTAAAATTCTCTTTCATTATCAACTAACAGAATTTTTCGCATGAATTTAATTGCTCAGTTTGTTTCAAGAATGTTTTTCATGACAGCTTATTTGGAGATAAGAACATGTATTATGTCTCTTTTGACACAGATAAATGTCACTATTAGCTATGGATCATTACTAGAACTTAGTGAGTTTGTAAATGGAAGACTTCTCTTTTGAGCAACTCTGATTTCCAAACGGTTAAAAAAAAACATTGAATAGAGGCTCTAATAAATTTCTCAAATAATTATGATTTCTGTGATTATTCACTGTTCAAGGATAATTGTCAAAAAAAATCATTTTAATGTCATAGATAGACGTTAGAATAGTCTTATCGTTAGAATAATTGTTAAAAAGAAAATCCTTGCATAGATTCATCTGAGATTCATAAAAGTTGCTTAGCCATTTTACAACTTATTTTTTCTCATATTGAATCGTTTTTTTATCTAATTAATATTCTCACTTTTATTCTAAATCATTACTTCCTTGACTTGATTTCGATATCAAAATATTATTAGTTTTCTTCTCATTTATAATCAAACCGAGAGAACGGGATCAAAAAAAAAAAGAAATAAAAGTTTTTGTTCTGCAAATACAAACAAGTCCAGAGATTAAGATAAATCAGATCAATGAATTGAATAAATGATATGAATATTGTTAAACGGTCATTCTCTTCTTTTAGAAGAAACTTTATTTGAAAAAATGTAAAATCTATCGCAAACATTGAATAAATGGTGAAAATCATTGAATTTCGATATGAGGAAAGAAAATAATGAGCAAAATTAAGACCGAAACTGATCATATTTTTATCACAAGCTCAAATTGAACTGATTTCATGCCTGTGATACTGTATGATTCGATGAAATACATATTGTGTGTTGTTCTATGTTTTGTATTTTCATGACTTTTATTAAACTCTTATCGAATCTAATGTTTAAACAAAAAAAGAGAGACATTCACATCACACAAAGAAAAACTGATACATCAATGATCTACGAAAAAACTGATAGCTAAAATAGATTTAGTTGCTGATCTTTTTCAATTCTAGTCAGAGCAATTTTCAGTTTTGTTTTGAAA